TTTTCCCTTTTTTTTTTTTTTTTTTTTTTCTATACCAATAGCACATTAATGAACAATTTCAATACAAAAAATAAAATGTTCAAAGCTTAAAAAATTAAGTAATAAATAAAGTGAAGAGCTAACTGACTAGTATGCTTTCCAAGTTGCGGGCGCACAAAAAATAACATTTAAAGTAAAAACCCTAACAATATACCATGCAACCTCTAATACCCGCTTCTGATCATTAAATTTTACAATTGCAAGTAAGAATATAGGTCTCTTTGACCTTAAGTAAAGCTAGTGATATTCTATTCAAGATTTATTAGAACATGACCATACATATGATTCATTCCTTAAAAGCTTTCATTTTTTAACCCAGCTCCCATCGATCGAATTATAGGGGAATAATATGAAGTCTACCAGCTTGAGTAGGAGAAGCAATTAGTCATCATAATCATTCCTGTGTCAGCTTCATCAATCTCATTTTTCAACTCATTGAGTGTTGCTTGAGTAATTAAAATTAATATGCCTAAATCTTTTTGAATGGCTTCTATCTATGGGCCCATTAACTTCCAGTGCCCATCTACTATAATCCTTCCTCGATGTATCATTTTAGTTGTACAATATAGCCATCTTATTATTTGCATTTTTGCCACACTCAACTTGACTATCGAGGACTTTTTACTATCCAAATCAATTCATTGAAGCCAATCTGATTGCAATTTTATTAAATTTATCATTAATCCTCTATGATATACAATTATCCATGGCACTCTAAAAGTACTACCAAATTTAACAAATGAAGTGTAAAATCCAAAGAAAAAGAAATAACAAAAATCAAGAACACAAAAAAATTTACGAGGTTCGGCCATAACTAACAGCAACCTATCCCAAACTCCGAAAATTATGTTCTCATCTATGTACCCATTCATCTACATAACAACTTCAAGCTATTTAAATCTATCACGCTTAGATATCACTTTATCTACTATGATTGATAGTTACGATTAATATCTAACATACTTTGCATATCTTTTCCTCAACATTTTGGTCTAATATTCCTAAGCTATATTTCTTCGAAAGTCAATATTTTTTTTCTATGGAATGATCTTTTACTGGTTTCACCAGACATTTCAATGATTAGAATTGTGTCCATTGCAAAAAAATAATCCGAGGAGAAAAAAATCCGAGGAGCAACACTTTAAATAGTTTTGTAAGCACCTCATAAACAATACAAAAATACAAAGATTCAATGTAAATCATTCATGTAATATGGCCAAGAGAAAAAACTTTAGTCAATCAACAACTAATTGTAATACTAGTCAATGCTCCATATACATATAATTAATAAACTCGAGGTACCTTTAGCATACACATTTTTTTCCTTGACACGAACTAGATCAATTGTGTTACTCCACAATCTGCTTCTCCAAAATTAATTATAGCTTCTTTTGTTGCATTAATATATCCTATTCCAAACCTACAATGAATTAATTATGTGAAATTTTTCTCTACGCTGAGTCTATTAATTGCCTGATTTGCATCTACTGCTTAAAATTGCGAGCAAACACCAAATCCTGCACAAAAATGGCAAGGAACAAGCACGCAGATCAACAGTAACCTATCAACCCCAGCAAGCACACTACTCTCAAACTTCTTCAGAATGCTAATAAGATTTTAACTTGACAAGCCTGACATGCAGGTAAGGTTTTCTTTCATGATGATGTTTGGTTGTAGCGTCATCTTGTTCAATATGAAATAGTCGCCCTGCTACAGAGATAATAACAGTGCTCGACAGGTGCGTTTCTCAGGTTAAGCCGCAATTGAGGCGCAAATCCAGTATGGCGATCAAAACTCATTATTCCGTCTTAATCAGCTGTTCCATGACGATATTTTGAAAGATAAAACAGCTGAAAATCATTAACGAAGAGATAAACCAACCATACTAAAACCCACTCCACACGTACATTTCATCTGCATGTCTAATAATAGCTTATTATATCCTTACTATGAAGAACAAATAATGCATATGAATAGCATGCTGGAAAAGACAAAGAAAAGCTGAGAAACGCTACCCTCGTTAATTTTCGGAGTATTTCTTCAAGGTTATCAGCTTCCGTGATTTGAAGAGAAGAGTTAAGAAGAAAGGGCGCAGCGCACTCACTTTTTTCGGATCGCCGAGCTTTCAGGAGCCTCGCTCTCGGGAGCATAAATTGTACAATTGCACCGGAATCCCGCGCCTGCAACAGGCAGTGTGATGGGCATTCTGCACAAGCGACGCGCTTGGTTTGTACCTCGGCCGCTACCGCTAATAAAAAAAGAATATGAATAGAATTGCATCAAACCACAGCAGAGTGATGGGGATACGAAAAGGTGATAGGGTTAGCCTGAAAAACCACAAACATTATCGAGGAGAGAAGGCGGAAGGAAGAGCTGGAGAGGACGGGGAAGTGGGAAATAATAGTGCAGCTCATTGCCCGCCCGGTATCGGCTATCTTCGTCTACTTCCCTCCTCGCTCTTCGTTGTAAATGATAGAACTGGAGGTGGAACGAGTGGTCCGGCGAACAAAAATGGGCGCGGACGGCTTGTGCGTCACTTCGGGCTTTAGTGCTTTGGAATGGCGAGGTTCAGTCGACTCCTCTTCTTCCTTGGATTTACACTTGCTTGTTCTTGTTTGATTTTGGGCAGGAGTAGGGCTGTCAATTTGGCTCGTTGTTTGTGAACTGCTCGTGTTCGGCTCGTTAAGCAGCTCGTGTTCGGCTCGTTAGGCCTAACGAGCCGAACGCGAACAAATTTTTAAGCTCGAAATGTAAACGAGCCGAACACGAACAATAGTTTGTTGGCTCGTGTTCGCTCGAAATGACTCGAAAAAAAAAATTATATAACTTTTTTATATAAAAATATATTACATATATTATTTATATAATAATATATTATATATATTTATGTCTAAGTTTAAATC